GACGATTCCGGGAGTCGAGGGGCTGCAGTCGCCGGTACGGAGGGATGAAATGGGGAAAACATTCGCCCGGGCTCTGGCGGCTGGTGTCGGGGGCTGAGCTGATACACAAGGGGCCCATGCCAGAGTGTGCGCCGGTAATTGCGAGTTCTATGTAGATCCACTTACAGTGATTAAAAACTGTCCTGCTGGGTATCATCCGCGGAGAACGGCGCATCGGGCACGTCGGCTCGACCGAGGGGTGAAGGGGCACGAAGAGAGAGAGCGAGAGAGAGAGAGAGAAAGAGAGAGAGAGAGAGCAGCGGCGAGCAGAATACGCGTACCACTGAGAGTACTTCCGCCACGTCTCGCACGGCATGTCATTTCGCGCTTAACGTCCAACAGCAACAACCATCCGCTTGACTTGAGATTATTGCGATTCGACCGTTACACTGACGATGACGAATTCACGCGGTGTTCGAGCACCATTCGCATCGCGAGGTTTTTTTATCAACCAATTATTACCAATTCCACCTGCGCTCACCGTCACGAATCGATTTTTATGAAGAAAACATCCTGGTCGAGTGTCCTTGTTCTGAAACAGTAAGAAGATACCTTCGAAAGAATTCGGTGATATTGCGGATATTCAATTGTTACATTGTAGCTCCGAAGTAGCGTTATTCCGACTAAAGATGTTTGAAGAACATTATTATTATTGCCTTCAGGGACGAAGGAAACAATGATTACGTCGATCTTTCGAAGCAATCTGTCGATGAAACTTCGATGACACGAAAAAGTTGGTGTTGTTTCATTATCGAAATGTCGTTTCAACAATATTTCTGTGTCGAGTAGACTTTCATAAGATACTCAGCGTTATGTATTACCATGCATGCACTCTGTACAGAACAAGAAACAAGCAAATTGCGCAAAATGAAGCGGGTTTATCACTGTCGTTTCTCCCGTGTCTTGTATCACACGCGAATTGCGGTGGTCCAGACTTTCAATTAAGAAAATAAGTTTAGGGCGAAGTTTAGGGTGCATCACTCTGCTATCTCAGTCTTAATTAAGGTCTGCTCCGTGTAGCGTGGAGACATTCGCTTTTATTGCCGCGATCGTCGGGATGATTCCATTACGAATGAATCAGAGCCGCGCGAAACTCAACTGTATGCAGTTAATACGTTCTGCCAATTACGAAATAATTTCAACTTCGCTGATGAACCTCTTAGCCACGCTGATGAAACGATATATTTTCTTCCGCAGTGAATAAGACTGCAAAATTTGTCGCGTGTGGTGCATGAAGTATATCTCTCTTATTCGCGAAAGATCTTTCGTTGCAATTTATAGTCCAACTTTTTATCGATAATCTTTCGAGCGCCACTTCTCTTTCTCTTCGCATCCCGTTTTATTCAACATTAAGTATCCTTGTGATTAAATGCGAAAACAAGATCCTAGTTAAACGCGCTCGCGTAAAATATTACTGAATACTCTGCGCTTTTATCTATGAGTTTCGATGTGTGTGTGTGTGTGTGTGTGTGTATGTGTACGTTGGATAGACGTTGAAATTTTACATGTACATATAGCGGATAACGTCAAAGTAATTATGTTACGGATTATATTTCGCCAAAGTAGATTGGCCCGAGGTCAGGAGACAAGCGAGCAGGATTCCGCGGTTAACTGGTTCGAGAAGGGAAAATCTCGACGATGCCTAAACGTAGGGTGAACCGAACGGATAAGCAGAGCGCAAATTGCACGATCGTGCGGCGCTCCCGCGGAATCCCTAATGCTCCGATATTTACTTTGACCATCGCAATCGACACGGGAAATAGTCGGCGCTTGACTAAACAATATCGAACGCCAGCGCGAGCAACTATCGCCGTGCGAGCGCCCTGCTGGAGATGGGCGCGGCGCTCATCATGAATCGGCGAGCTTAGGGCTGTATGCAAAACGCGCATTACTTTTATTTATATGTACTGATATTGAGAAACGAAGTCTCCTCTACATTGACTGTTCTACTTTGTTCGACTTGGATCTGTTCCACGTGATGATGATGCGTTATTTATATGCCGTATATGTTGAATACACATGTTGTATGAATATAACAATAATTCTAACGCGACGCGCATCCTTTCTTCGGCAAAAAGCCTCTTATCGCGATTTATAGCTCATTTTTTTCCCGTGAAAACTCTTCAAACGATATTCTCTCTTTCTCTCTCTCTCTCTCTCTCTCTCTCTTTGTTCAACAATTTTATACTAATTATTCTTGTAATTAAATGCGAAAGTGGTATCCAGTTAAGCAAAATTGCCTACGTAGAATATTAGCGAATATTTCTTGGATTTGTTCCATTGAAACGCAATGTTAGACGAGACACGTCATCTCTGTTTAATCAAAATTTGCTTCGGATTATTAATCTTCGTAACTTATTAATATCCGGACCGACAAAAGTAAGTTAAGATGTAGCTTACGCATCGCGACGCACGTCGAAAAGCGCGGGCGAGAAAGCACAGGGAGAATTCCCGCGCAGTCCCTGTATATAAAGAGGCGATTAAATATTTATCCAGAAGGTGCTGGACATCTGTCGACACGCCTTGTTGCACTTTATTTTGCCGCGGTCTATTTGTTTAACATTAACGCTTCGCGCGCGCAGGCTTGCTCTCACCCTAATTTGCTCCGTCGCTCGCCGCTGTCGTCGTCGTCGTCGTCGTCACTTCGGCAAACAACGGCACACATGCTACAGTCTGCTCGAGGTTTGGTCCATGGCCAAACACGAATTATTAGCGTTGTCTTTGGCACGTACATACGTACCCCGGCGAGCACGTTCATGACATAGTCGACGTAGTCGCGAGACAACTTTCGAAAGAAGGAGAAGGAGAGGAAGAACAAACGATTGACTTTCAAGGGTTTACGTTCATTTTTCATCGTCACGAAAAAGTCACGAGTGATTTTATCGAGACCGAGTCGTAGCATTTTCCCCCTGTGTGTTCTTCGATTCTCCCGAAATTCCCGAAGTGATATCGAAGAATGAGGGAACTCTTGCAGTCAATAAATAATCGCGATGCAATGAGCAGCTGTAAAACCCGTCTTGAATTTTGCTTACAATTGATACTTGACCGCGCGTGATATTAAATCGTGTGTGTAAACTGTATCGCTCGTGTGTGTCGTCCGAGAGATTGTAAACAACTGCGAAACATCTTCCTCGAGTCATGTCTATAAAGCTTTTCCCATCGTTGATATGCTTTAATGAATTTCTTGAGAATTAATGCTGAGATTGATGCAAGACTATAAGGGACTCTTTGATGTTCGGTTCATTGCTTTGTATACGTTGCACACGAGCGTTGTTACGTTTGGTAATTGCCAAACACCCTGTATAAAGCGTCGGTGGCATTAATTAAGTCTCGTGTAATTCTTTAATGGTTGCGATGTCGATTTTAAAAGAATATGCCTTCTACTCCCGAAGAGTGTATTTAACCAAACCGAATCTTTTGTTTCACCCCCTCCCCTCAGAATTAATTTTACCCGTTTTAACTTCATTTCTTCTTCTTTCTCTTCTTCTTTTTCTTCCTCGCGACTAACACTAACTTCAGATCACAAAGGAACGCGACGTCGGGTGTAATCAGCTTTAGATTAATTAGCGCGCGCGCGGAACGCGTTCGCTCGCAGCGTTCGCCGTTTAGTTACGACTGGAAATTTCGTGAAAAACTGCCGCTGGCCGATCGCACAACCGACGTGCTATCGTCCAGCGACAGCGGCAAAAGCAGCAGCAGCAACAACGGTAGCAGCAGCAGTAGCAGCAACAGCAGCAGCAGCTGATAAAAATCCAATAGCCCCAGTGTTTGCCAGCCGGAAAGGGCAATCACGTTCATCATGGTGTCCTACGCTCCCGCCGTCGTCTCCCGCCGCCTCATGGTGTCCGCGTTCCCCACCCCGCGACCCTTTCCATCCCCCTGTGCGTCCACCCTCGCTCCAGCCGCCAGCCCCTGCCGCCTCCAGCGCCCGCCGCGCCGCACCGCGCCGCGCGCGCGAGCAGTTACGTCCTACGAGCCCTGAACGTAGCCGCCCCTGGAAAATCCAGGGGTGGGATTCAGGGGTGGGTACGCCGCGCATGTTGAGGAACGAACGTTCAGGGAGTGACGAGGAGGGACGAAGATTGAAGGGGATCACCGTGGCGTAAGGGAGCGTCGGGGACGACAGGGTGGAGGGATGGGAGTGGGTGGGCGAGAGGGAAGGGGGTTGGCGGAGAGGGTGGCGAGACGGAGCAGCGGCGGCGAAGGGGTCGACGGGCGCAGGGGGAGAGCGTGGATGAGAGGGCAGCGCCGCCGGTCAGATAAACGCTAAAGCAAATAAATCCGCTACTTTAACATGCAGGTCACCGCAGGTGTCTGTTTATTTTATTCGTTAAATATTTCATTTGGCCGGCTAGGGCCAATTACGAGCACGCCGTATGGCGAAGCCGGCCGGTCTCGCCGTTTTACTTTGACGAGCGGAAGCGGATCCGGACGAGGCCTCCTCGCGAGCGATTTCTCGTGTATTTCACGTGCGGCGGTGAACATGTTCCCCCGTACTGAACACGTAGCGTGCGCCGCTGATCAACAACATCGCAAATTTGCGTCTTAATTAGCAACCTGCTGCGGCTTTTCGTGCTGTGGGCTCGATCTGTGGGCGAGGCGATGTTTATTTAACGCGGATTGTCACGGCGATAAATCACCCACCGGTAATTCATATCGAGCTGAACGCCAAGAGTACCACAACGTGTAGCCTCAACGTGCGTTGGGAAAGAAGTGCTTATCGTTGAGTACTCATGTTGTGGTACTTCGATCTCACGTTGATGCTTCTCTTCCTTTCTTTCTTCCGATCGTTTCGCAAGCGGTCGTGCGATCGTCTTGCGAGTACCATAGAAATACAAATCTTGTCGAGTTGTATATAAAGAAACGGCCATCTCTCTTCAGGATGGTGGCCAATCGAACCGATCTTCCGTTGTACAGTTCCCCCTTATACACGATCGCGCACTCGTTGCTGGCTGTTGCAGGTGTGGTTTCAGAACCGGCGCGCCAAGTTTCGCAAGCAGGAGAGGCTAGCCCAGCAGAAGTCCACGTCGCAGGCCGGCATCGGCGCCGACAGCGGCGCGTCCAGTCCGGTCGCCGGCACGGTGAAGGCGGAGGGCCGCTCGCCGAGGAGTCCGGCGACTCCGCCCGGCAGCTCGAACAGCGTGCTGTCGTCGAACGAGATCAAGCCGATCACCAACCAGAGCCTGGTGAACGTGAAGCACAGCAACGCGGACGGTGCCGGCGACGGTAGCTCGCCGAATACGCGGGGTGTCAGCACCGGCGGCGGCGGCACCTGGGGCTCCTGCAGTCCCAGACCCTTCTCAGCAGCTTTGCCGCCTTACCTGCTGGACCCCTTGCCGCTGAAAACCGCGAACCTCTACTAAGCGGCCCGTCGTGTCGCGTCGGGCGCTGTAAATACATAAAGTCGGAAAGCTCGCACCCGCGGAAGCTCGCAGCGGCCCACTTCCGGTCCCGTTCTCTGCCGCGCGCAGAGAAAGAGAGAGAGAGAGAGAGAAAGAGAGAAAGGGGGAGGGAGAGGCGCAGCGTCCTCGAGGAGCCGAGGTTGTCCGAAGGATCTTCTTCCCGGTAAGGGCGCGCCGTTGATATTTTTTCCTACAGACAGACAAAGACAGGCAGAGACGCTCGGCCACGGCGGCGGCTCGCCTCGAAAGGCAGCGTCTATCGTCGAGACAGACGCGCTTCTCCGAGGCTCCTGAATGAGCGAGGCGAAGCGTCGCTTCGATATGATCAGCGAAACGCACCATCGGCTCGCTAAGATCCGAGGGTCGAGATGAATGTCGTGCGACATGAATTTCCCGTCGTGCGACGCTGCTTCCTCTGCTCGTCGCTGGGACTTTCAAGTTCGCCGGCTTCCCGACGTCGAGCTGCGGGCGACGAGCCTCGAGCGACGAGATCAGCTCCCCGTTTCGCTCCGCTGTGATACGTCCGCGTCGCGAGTCGACGGAGGATCGTAGAGAGGCTTGTTCTTCTCGGCCGAACTGAAGTCACTTTCGGCGCTTCGTTCCTTTTCCCCGCTCAACGTTAGCTCACACTCGTCTCACTGCAACGGCAACAAGCCAGCGAGCCGGTTCGGCTGAGAGGAACAGCCCTAGGCGTTTCTTCCGGCGCAATCTTCGCTCGACGTCGCAATTTTCACTCACGCGTTCGCGTGGCCGAAAAACTGGCTGGCGGCGTAGAACCTGGGAAGCGGCGGCCGCTCGTCCAGCTCGTCGAAACCGAGATTCCCAGTCCACGATGATTGAGAGCGATGTGCGAACGGATCTAAGCCAGGACGGATTGAAAGTCCGATTGATATCGAGGATAATGGAGTCGCACAGAGCGTTTACCTCAAACGAGAGCTTCAACGCTGCCGGCGGAAGACAGGAAGCGAAATAGCGCGCGCGCGTCCAATCGCGAACGTGTAGACACGCATAATTTCGCGCCTCGGCTCGACGCGAGAGGTAATCGCGATCCCCGTCGAGGAAATTGCACTACACCCGAAGTCGTTATCAAAGAATCCAGCCACGACACGTTCGCCGTGTTATATATCAGGGGGAGCATTTTTAGGAGAGCCAGCCGCGGTTCTACATCATTTAGTTCGTCAGGAATAATGAATCGTGCGTCGTGAATCATGAATCGCCCTCACTGGCGATTTAAACGAGACGGCAACTCAGAATGGAAGAGCTGCTCCGCGTTCGATATTTAACGGAACGATTGTAACCGTTAATTCAACCGCACGGCCGGCGATTCTAAAGTGCTCTAAATATTGCACCACGTCGTCTTTATTCATTTACCGCCGTTGTAATTATACCCACGAAGCGAGATGAGTTTTACGCTCGAGGAGATGAGAGAGGGAGAGGGAGAGGGGTAGAGAGACAGAGAGAAGAAGAGAAAGAGAGAGAGAGAGGGAGAGAGAGGGAGAGAGATATATATATATATATATATAGAGAGAGAGAGAGAGAGAGAGAGAGAGAGAGAGGCGGCAGCAAGCTCGTTCGCGCACTCGCTCGTTTGCAGAACGTGAAAGCTCACCTCTGCGGCGCACACGCTTTCGATCTCTGTTCGATCTCTCGACGATGATCAACCGACAAGTAGAACGAAAACGAGTGAAGCAGCACGTAGAATAAGAGTATTGTTAATCACTCACGAGCGTCAACACACGACTGGACAACGCAACTTATCGAGATTGATTTGCAAACCGACCAAATGACGGCCACGACACGCCGAGAGATCTCCCGCGATATATTTCGTATAATAATCGTATAATAAGTAACGGAATAAAATCCAGTAGGAGAGAAGTATATCAAGGATATACCTCTACAATGAGGTCCTTGACGCAAGTACCAAGCGTTCTTCGCCCTGCCAACGATTCGAGCGTCAGAACGGCCATCGGTGGACGAGAAATCTCTCGCTCGCGACATCGAAGTAAGAGTGACGACTATACAGGGGTAGGAATTTCGCGGAAATTTCGATGGCAGGATCCTTGCCGAGGTAAGTTTGGCGTGTATCGGTTTTTCTGGGTTGATCAATCAAGACTGTGACGTGCAGGCGGCTATTGATTAGATCAGTTTCACATAGTCCCGTCGTAGATAATTGCATTTACCCGGTCGTTCTCTCTGAATTTGAAAGGTGAAAGGGAAAAGTGCGCGAAGACACTCGAGGAGGTAGGTTTTTTCTCGCAGTCGGCGAGTTCGTCGCTCGAGTGCAAGATTGTCCCGTCGATTCGCAGGCCGACGGAATCTCTCTCTCTCTCTCTCTCTCTCTCTCTCTCTCTCTCTTTCTCGCTCTAGCTCTCTTCCTCTCTTTCTCTCTTTAGGATGTCCTTCTTAAGATAAATATTCACACATACCGTCCTGTATGTCTCGTACCAAGAAGAGCGAGGGTACCTGTCTTATCACAATACAATGGACAATGTTTGACGACCGTGTGACTCGTTGGTCACGCGCCGATAACGAGAGCGCACCATATTCCGCGTATGTATAGTTTATCGATTACGACTGAATCTATTTTATAGTGAGATGTATAAATGTACATTAGTTAAGGCGAAGGTATGTATAGTTCTACCAGAAGGTATCCTTTCTTTCCACGAGTCTCGTCGAACTTCGCCGTGACCTTTTAGAGGGCCAGTTAAGAGAGAATCTTAGTAATACGGCAACGTCCACCGATAACTAGAGTCAAGCCGGACACATTCGGAATCGTTGCGACTATTTTCCTTGCGATCTCCGGCGGAGAAAGTACTGTTAGTTACTCAATATTGCAAATCTCCCGAATTATATATATAACTAATACTGTGTAAGACTGGAAATAGGACGATCCGGGTTTTCGGATATTCGAATATTGATATAATTAATTGAAACCGTGTTATTCGATCACTAAAATATGAGTATCCGAATTGTCCGGATAGTCCGGATCGTAATACCCGAATATTCGAGTCTACTCCTGAACGTGCGAATTTATTTAAACCGTCGAAAGAATTGGAGACGGAGTTCAGTTGAATTGTCCGGATATATTTCAGCCTTGATCGTAAGATTAAGAGAGATATGGTGATCTCTCGTGAAGAGTAGCAAAATAACGATCGGTCGTCGACACCCGGTTAAACAATAGACGAGAATTCAGCTTCGTGACCGTCCACGAAGTCCGCGATGGCGATGGCCAGAAAATATCGCGCATACGTTATTCTCGCGGACGAGCGGAGGCCACTGGTCCTCCGAAAGTGAACGGCAACATAGCGTGCGATAATTTCTATCATGTCCCGAGGCGATTCATATCCCAGTTCGATAACGAATGTGATTTTTTAACGAGACACAATTTTACAATACCGCGTATACTGGCGCGTAGCGCGAGCCGCACGCTCGTCTCCGAGGAAGACGCGGATTATCGATTATATACGCGACGGCCGTGAGAGAGGGGAAAGGCTCGTCTCCGTAAGCCAGGAAGCGTTCGTGGATTCTGAACAGCTTCGTTGCTCCCGCCATTATTGTTAAGGTTAACGAATGGTAATTATAGATATGTGTGACCGGAAAAACAAACTTGTACAGTTGTTGCTATAAATATATGAAATTAGTGTTTTACACCGTACTCACATACTCACTCTCCGTTGATTGTTCCGTCAAGTTCGCTCGAATCATCATTTCGCCCACAGATCACTCCGTCGGAATCATTATTATTATTATTATTTTATTTTTATTTCTTTTATTCTGAACTGAAACGCGTCGTCCACTCGGGACGACGCAACAGTCGAAAGAATCGTCTTATTGTGTAATTATCGCACTCTGTGTTCGTATCCGGTAGTCATTTTGCGCGCGTTCATTTTTTATTATTATTTATATAGATTAATTCGTCTTATTAAACTAGGTTTTTGTTTAGGTTCAATGTCGTGTCGATACATCGTGCCGTATTTCAGGAGAAACATAAGATCTCGTTGCGCGCGCGTTTTCGAATGCGATTCGGTTGCGTCAATTCTTGTGTTTGGGTAAAGAAAATTTTGCGGATCTTCAATCATACATTTATTGAAAATCATAATTAAATTAGTTTCTCGTCTTCGTCGTCGGTTAGATCGTTGCTGCTGATCGTAGCCCGGTGTTGTGTAGATTTTTACTCGTATTTATCCGCTTATGTATCGTCCGCGAGAGTGTGCGGTGTAATCGACGACGCGAGATAATCAAATCATCGCGCTGCCAACCCCAGACTTCCGTGTCTCGAAGTTAAAACCAGATGTAAAAATTCGCGCTTGGTGAAAACTTTACGTTAACGAGCCAGCATCATTAATTGCGACGCATTCTACTTTACGTGGCCGTATTAATCTAGAAGATGGAGAAATGTTCCAAAGTCTGGCTGGCGGAGATTGAATTGAAAGACTTATCTAGTTCTTTGGCCTTCTCCTCGCAGCGTCTCTTTCAAATCCGGTATCTCGCGGGACGATTATTCCGCGGTCGTAATTTCCAATTCGTCGAGATCGAAAGAAAAGGAAGAACAAAACAAAACGAAAGGAAGAAGAAGAAGAAGGAGAAAAGTAACAAAAGTTTCGTACGTTCGTAATTGCTTGTCATCAGATTAGTCGTTCGCGCGTAGGTAATCGAGGGTCGTCTAGACTGCTGCGAAATTCGCTGGAAGAACCTGAAGATCGCCAAACAGACTGTAAGCGAAATCCTTAGCACACTCGGTAGATTCGGCCCGCTTGCGAGCTACGGTTCTCCGTGGAATTTTCGCGGTAACCTAGCGCGAGTCATCTAACGACGACCGGACGAGAGTGGGTCCAGTTGAGCGCAGGAATAAATCGACACGTCAGCGATAATTCTCGATGATGATTCGCCGCGATCGACTGATCAGACATGCGTTTCCCTCTTCGAGCCCTCGCGCGCACCCTGCTGTTCGTTCAGCGTCGAAACTTTCATCGTTTTACGCGGAGAGGGCTCAAAGCCCTCGTATCGTTATTGAAGCGACAACCCTTCCAAGCGGGTGGTGTTTTTTTTACATTACAGCTAAATAAATCGTTAATCGGCCAAATGACCAATTTATCCGCAATGCGATCGATACGAGTCGCACGATCTCGCGTCGCGACGTGTCATCGACGGCGACCTGCGCGATCGACTGCGCGATCAAATTTCCGTGGGATCAACCGGACTCCCGGTCGCGTCATCCCTGCCCGCCGCGCGCAGTTCGCATTAGAACGGGGGCGAAGTCATCGACATCATCGAATCGTCGTATGCTAAGAAAGGAGAAATCGAAATTCCCGGAGCAGCGCGTTCGTCTGTCGTCAGATATACAGTCAGACGCCTCTACACAGGGTAGCCCACAACTGTCACGCGATACTTCAATAGCGTATTCTGAAAGTCAGATCAAAGTCGGAAATCCTAACGTGTACAAGCCGGAGAAAGAACTTGAGGAGGAGGACCGAGTGAGTGACAAAATTGCACCTTACAACTCATTCTTTCAGCTGATTGCTCAAGCCAATTTCACATAGAGTGCGCTCAGACAGAATCCTAATTAGAAACTTCGTCGGGGGAAACGTGCGACGTGAAAAAACCGAGAGAAGACGCGACAAGCGAAGATCCTCTTCGACTATCAGTCGCGTATCAGAATTTTTTACTTCAATGAAACTCCAGAATACGCCATGAAGGTATCGTACCACAGTTTCGGGACATCCTGCATAAATATATATGTATATTTATATATTTACATTGATATATAAGACTGAATCGCGAGGGTTCTTTTGGAGCGATGGGGTTGGCCCTTGAGATTAGGCCATCGTGAGGGTGCCTGCGCCCATACCGAAGCCCACGCCCTTGGGCCCGAAGTTTCGGCTGTAGCAGCCACGGCAGTAGATGTCTCCGTCCGGGCCGTCGTTCAGATTCGTCGAGTCCAAGGAACGGTGGCACTCGCCGCAGCTGAAGCACCGTTTATGCCACACGCGGTTCTTCGAGATCATCTGCTCGGCGGCGTACACCGGGTAGCCGCAGCGCGAGCAACCGTGCCCGTCGTTTCGCTTCTGACCAACCTGTGGCTTGGCGTCGATGCTGTGAAGAGGTAAGAGCAACGTCGTTCGAGAGTACAGCCGAGGTGGAATCGAGAGAGGGCCGAGCGTGTTATTTCTCGACACGCGTGCGATTGGCTGAAGCTTTCTTCGCGCGCGTCTCAAATCACGTCATTTACACATGTTTAAATACATAAAATATGACGCGAGGTTGCCTGAAGCTTTCCTTACACACTCCTCTGGTCTGAAATCACGTCGTTTAAACACGTCATTTAGCACGTTAAATGACACGAGTCGGGACGAAAGGAGAAATGTGCGAGGACCGGCCTCAGCCAATGACTCGCTCGTGCGTGTAAAAATAACACAATCGAATTTGCGCCGCGGGAACCCGCGTCTCGGGTCGCCTCCTTACTTACTAGGAAGGAGCGTGATCCCCGTTCGTCGAGACGAGAGTCGGCCTGTGGCCGAATCCGAAGCCTTTGGGCCCGAAGAGCTTCCCGTAGCAGGCGCGGCAGTGGATCTCCTTATCGGGACCGTCGCACGCCAGCATCGAGTCCAAAGGTCGATGGCATTCGGCGCAGTTGAAGCACTTCTTGTGCCACATGGTGCCCTTGGCGAGCTGTTGCTCCGCGGCGAACACCATGCCGCCGCAACGGGGGCAGCCCTGTCCGGCTGGCGCTTTAATCGAGGTCGTGTCGGGATTGTAGAAAGGTCGGCTGGCTGAAATCTCTTCCTCCCTGCGGATCGTTAATATGGTTACAAAACGCAGTCCCGATCGCACGAGCTCCAACCGCTTTCTACTCGATGATGCAGCCTCTGTCTCCGCGATTGTCTGATCCGCAAGTCGACTCGCGAGCTGGAGACCGGTCTCGAGACAATCAACCGCGCGATCACCGAGATCGCATCGCGAGACTGAAGAACGCGGCGACAAGTGGGAGATCGTGTTCTCTATGAGCGCGAGTTAATTTTACTCTCCAGTCTTCATCTCGCTTCCATTTCATCTTCCGTTACTTTCACGTCACATTTCTTTCCTTGAACCTTTTCTTCATCGCTGCGCGACGCTATCCTCTCAAAGAGGTTCGTTCAACCGACCGAGTGACGAAGCGAGTTTCCCCGCTTCATCTTGAATGAAGCCGTGTTAAAACTGCACACGTGCTCTTACATTCACGTTCGAGTCAAATGTATGTATGATATCCATAGTTAAGGAAACAAGCAGCGAGAGATCAAATCCCAGAGGCAGGCCTGCGCTACGGAGAGGGACGCTACGAACGAGACTCACGTGAGTCCATCGGTCTGGAGGAATCCCGAGCCACATGCGAATCCGTATCCGTGCGGTCCCCACTTCTTCCCGTAGCAGGTCTTGCAGTAGACATCCCGGTCCGGACCGTCGCAGGCGATGATGGAGTCCAGGGTCTTGGTGCAGTCACGGCACTTGTAGCACTTCCGGTGCCACTCGCGGCCCTTGGCGAGCACCTGCTCGGCGGCGAAGACAACGCCGCCGCAGCGCGGGCAACCCTTGCCTGGCGGAGCCTTGATTATGGCAGTGTCGATCACGGTGGTGCGTGGAGCTGCATCGCTGTGTCGCAAATCGAACCTGACGTTACAACGCGGTTCACCCCGCTCAATCGTCGATGATCAAGCGGATGATCGAATCGCACGGATCGGGGAGAAGCGATTGGCGCGGGTCTGCCTGCTCCGAGAGAGTCTTGACGCCCCGGCGAAGGGTAAGTTTGTTGGACATGTGGACCACGTTTAGTGTGGGGAAATCCAGCTGGATATCTGAGTATTTTCAGTTGCCTCCCGCTTCTCCCGTATCGTCATACGACTCGTTTGCGCAATCGTGAAGGGACATAATCGCATGCCAACGACGGAGGTGGTTCGGTCGTGTCGGCAATTGTCTAGTCAGGGCGCGTCAAAGAAATATCTTCAAAATTCTCGTGATTTCTTCGATATAATTTTTATGAGCCAGGAATAATGTCTCGATCTCGAGAGGGATTACAGAGAGTTGTAAATGTACCGAATCTATAAACACGGTTTTTGAGAACATTATCTATTATCTTGTTACTTCATAGGACGCACAGGAGATTAATCGAATAAAATTGATGTAATGTAAAATGATAATATGTAATATAATTGTGATAAAAATGTATCGGCAATCAGTTTTGATCGATCATGAAAATATAGCTAAACGGTGTATCTTCTTTCACGTGAGCCGTGACGGACAATTACGAAATTCCCTTCTCATGAGGTCTCGATTATTTGTCACACACTCGATTTATTATTTCGTCAAGGGAAAAGATGAGAATTGTGGATTCACGTATACATGTATTGAAATTTTATATATATATATGTATATACATATATATATATATATATATATATATATATATATATAGCAGCAGAGAGTGTTAGTGACGAATTGGGTGCTACACCAACTTCGGGTTTAGACCGCCATAAGTACACATGCACAACGTACAGACCATGTGGCAACAGGAATGTCGAATGTATGTGGTAGAGTCTGGCAACAATGAACGTCCGCGTGATCTACAAGCTCCTCGAAAAGCGAGTCTCATTGAGTCGATCGCCACTGAGAAATCACACTCGATATTCCGATATGATCGGCCGATTCGTGATGCCAAGGTGAGTAGTAGCGCAAAGCGTTAAGGCGTCGGTCTATATGTATGTATATATGTATATTGTATATACACGGACACACACAGGCGCGCACGTGTACAGAATGTCCCGGAGAAGGCGCGTGCCAGTGACAATTTTCCCGTGTACTTCGGGAAAGTCGGGGGCCGACTTTTCCTCGGTGAGCAACACAACGGCCGTCGCGGCTTCGCGTTCGCGCTATCTCCTCACAATCTACGTCTTCGTATGCCTCGAGAGCGAATCATGTGACACGACATCGTAAACGATGAAGACGATATCTCCGAGACGTGTGTACGTGTGTATGTATACGTTCTATAGTTACATGACTCCCTGTTTGCAGAAATATAATCAAGCTCGAGTATATTTCGGAGAAGTTGCATACATATCGAGTCACGTGCTTAAACATTCATCCAAAACCGTTACTTTTCGCGTCTTCTTAATCTCGTGACGTTTTATCATTAACATCAGTCTCCACCGAGACGTTTCTGAGGACTTGCAGAACTGCACATCTATAACCCATCGATCCAATGTGCCGCTTAAGGAATGTCCCTCGCCTCGATACGCGTGCAAAATACGACTAGTAACTTTCGGAAGACTTGCATCCCCCCCAGCAAGCAATATTATCCGGAAATTTGAAAATACGCGAGGTGAAAAAGCCTTTTCCGCGAGTTCTTTAAGCCACCAAATGCTCTCCATGGTTCTTCCGACGTCGAGGCAACGAGGCGCGCACCAGGACGATCAGACTGATCGGCCTGAAAATGTCCGACGAGGAAAAATCAGCGGCAGGTCGCTCGAAGGCAAAACTATTGCTTGCGCTCGCGCGCGCCTCTCCTCATCGGGCACCCTGTGTACGCGCGCGAGAAGATCGTGATAGCTTAACTAAGGGGGCGCGTACCCCTCATCCTCAATATCGCACTGCAGCCCGATCCACATAACCCCAGCGTGGCCGATACCCCGCGGACCGAATTTCTTCGGATAGCAAGCTGTTAAGCAGACAAGCGCATCATATATAGTGAAAGTGTAGAAGCCGAGGCGGGATTTCTCTCTCGCGCGTGCTTCCCGTCTCAGTCCTGACTCTGAAAACCCACCCATTGGCGTAACAGTCGCTCTGCAGGGCGCCGCCACCCTGGCCGTAGCCATAACCCTTCGGTCCGAACCTCTTTCCGTAGCATACTGCAGACAATATCGATTAAAGATTTCACGTCGCCTCGCGTTATCACGTAATGACGCTCCGCCACGAAGACGTAATCGTAATGGCCATGTCCTTGTGTGCATTTTTAATACCGCTCTACGTTATCGTGCAATCGGAGAGGCTTCATCCCTTAACACGTTGACTGCCAACTACGAGATATCTCGTGGGTTGTTTACTTGCCCAGGACGCCTACTACGAGTTATCTCGTCCCTTCATTACTCGCCATATTTGTACAGCTACGAGGAAACTCGTAGCATAACAGTGTAAATATGAATAGATGGCCTCAGGAAAGAGAATAAAAAATGTTTTTTTAAAAAGAAACATTTTTTAAGTTTCTTGATTATTACTATGTACTATTATTAAAGTTTTTAATAATATAACATGATTAAATCAAATTGGCTCTTTAGACCGGAATCGTGAAAAATTCCATGGCAGTCAACGTGTTAATGGATGTCTTGTCGCCGTGTATAGTGCGAAGTATTGAGTTTTTATTGGCTTGGTAAGAGACTCGATGTGTCGTTGTACATGTACGATACACCCGGCTACCGATAGGAAGTATTTGTTGGGGGTCTTTGGATTCTGATAAATTTGGTGTTTCCATTAATTGAACAGATTGTTGCGCTCTACGTGATGAAAAATATCAAATTTTAACTCAGCCGCCCGCGAGAAATATTTCTTAGAGATAGACTCTTGAGTTCTAAGCAAATTTTTTGCTCTCATTAGCGAAAGGTAATTGATTGGCGATATGTTATGCTGTGAATAAATAGGGAATTCGGTGAGTTTCAGCCTTGAGTTTTTTCTCCGATTCTCCGGTAAAACATCAGAAATCGAACCGCTCGAACGAGGTAAAATGCCACTTCTCTCAATGCTAGTAAATGTAAACTAATCCGTGAATCTTCAAATATCTTGGCGCTAATCAATACCGATATTTTATGTAGAATAGATATTCATACACTGAAGAAATGCATCGTGCAACACTTCGCAGCTCCGGCTTCAGAAAAGAGTATTCTCTCTGTCTCTCTCTCTCTCTCCCTCCCTCTATCGCGTTTCTCGTACGTTACATCTTCGTGCGCACGTTTATACTACATCCTCACCTTTGCAATAGATGTCCTTGTCAGGACCTTCGCAGCAGTTGATGGAATCTAACCTTTTGGAGCAGTTGGCACACTTAAAGCATTCCTTGTGCCATTGCTGCACAAAACACAAAGGATGGGTTAGTCACTGAAAGTTCCAGGGAAAACGCTACATTGTACAATATTGCTCGTTCGTTTGTACAATCGTTCAGGAGCGAGGACACAGAAAGCTCCTTGGTGCCCGCCGATATAACCAGTTCCATGTTTCACGAGAACGATAACAGACATTAACCGTATTCAGCAGAAGCCCCAGCGCTCACACTAAGCGCTTGCTCATTATCTTCTGTGATTGGACCGTACTCTTAAATCCTCAGTGGGCCCAAAAGTGTACGCCCATCAGAATTATTAAACGCTGAACACGGATAATCTCTTGCACAGGTAGACTGCACGAAACTGGATCGAAAAATATCCCCCACCGTTTCACGATCTTTGCAACAGCTGTTAAGAAATTAATGAAAGAAGATGAGCGGATAAGCTCATGAAGAACGATAAGTTCTGATAACGCACAGCTCAAAAGATTAGATTGTTTGCATTAGATTTATTTACAAACGCCGCTCTCGTTGCTTTATCTCTCTGAGGGCCTTTCGCCGCCTTAACTTTTTCAGGCTAATAGGACAAAAAACTAGTAGGATAAAATATGTTCTGTTTTTTTAATTAGTACTGTGCAACTTGTAGGATACTTTTCATGCTACTTTGCTAATCTTGCTAACTTTGAAATGTTAAGATAATTCGAAGCACCGCGGTTTAATTGATCGTTTATTAAGTCAAACAAATCTACTTCGTTATATATATTTTCTTTTAAATAAAATTTCTGCGCAACTAGACTTTCTTATATCTTAATATCCTATGCACCACAAGGTTGATTAATTATCTGGTAACTGTTGGGAAAATCGCAAAAATGATGCAGAGGACTTTTCAGTTCAGTTCAATGCGCTCTATCTATACAGTCGTGCTGTCATGTCTTATATCATCCGCTTGTATCAGTAATGCCGATGCATCCGCGTGAGATAAACACTGGCATTACCGCGATTCTTTTCAACTGCGTATTTCCCTCGAAGGATTGGAGGCCAAAAAGGCGAAAATTCGCTTCAGTCTCGCAATTTTCTTCGCTCGATCTGCGGCACACATGGTTTGCCACAGATGCGATAATTCCGGCACGCGTTACGTATCTCTATCGCAGTGATTTAAATTCGCGAGAGTGACTCGGAGCGAATAGATAAACATTCGCGCGGCGGTAATACGCTAATACGACACGAAAAGCCGACACGGAGCGATCGACGCTCGCGGTCCCTTCTTCGCGGCCCTTCGCAGCCCTTGTGCGCTCGGGGGCCTTTGTCTGGCGGTGCGGGAAGAGTTTTCGCAAAACTGGTTTTAATGGGCCACAGTAATGGAAGACAAGTCGGTCCGGTAGCGAACGGACGAAGATCAACGTAGACAGACAGAAATCAACAGATAGACACGTTCCGGATCCATGTGATAGTCGTCCGACGTGTCGGAACACAGGGCAGTCAGTACGGATATCTGTACGTGAAATCGCAAGACACTCATGGACTCGACAGAGCCGGGAATGATCGTAGATTCTCTCTGAGATGAAAGGTACCTCGACAGTATATCTCGCGATCGGGACCGTCGCAATGAAGCGTAGAGTCCAGAGTCCGGCGACACAGTTTGCACTTGAAGCACACTTTATGGTAAGCCTAATCACAAGAACCAAGAGAATTGACCAACGGTAATTCAAGGGCAAGGCGTCTTATCGATATCGCGGACGCTGTACTTGGTGCCGCGACTAATCGTCAAGTCTTGGTCTTTTGTTTCTAAAGTTCCTTCCTGTCGCTCTATCCTTCCTTTTTCTTTCGCTCTTCCCCCCCCCCCGCCTCCTCTCTCTCTCTCTCTCTCTCTCTCTCTCTCTCTCTCTCTCTCTCTGTCCTGTCTAATATTCTCGAAATTCCACTCAACAACACTTCCACTCACTCGTTATATACTCGTTAATATATTGGCAACTGTAGCCGTAAATAATTGCAATGAAAATGCAAAATGCACGAAAGTATTCTATGATTAAATATTCTTAGAATCGTGAAATTATTATTCTTGTCTTTGTCCAACGCCCACTCTCGTGTTTCTTTTAACACAAGAATACTCCAGGATTCCTTCAAGAACGATTTTTTTTTTATTTAGAGGGATAGAGAGCAGTGATAGGCTAAACGATTATTTTTGCTAAACAGTTATAACAGTTACTGTTATTTTAAAATAACCGGTTATTTAAATCAGTTATTCAGTTAAACGGTTACTAGTAACTTACTATAATATTGAATTAAATAAACATAAATGATATTATGTAATTTATATATATATATATTTCTCTGTTATAAATTTATAAACAAAATAATAATATAATAATGCCAAAGTAGCAAGATGACGTGTTACTAATATCATTAAAACGTCTTGAGACGTCGGGTCTTGCTACCAGAGATAGTCTCTTTTAATTAAGTTTTATAATTGAAACGTTAAATAAAAACGAGACTAATAGAAATTTTTAAAACATAGTATAGGCTGTTTCATTTTTGTTTCTCAAAAAATAAAAAAATAGTATTATTGATGTTTTACTTAATAGCCTGTAAAGTAATAGTAATAGTAGTGCATACAAATATATATACATTTTCTTATTTTATTCAGCTATCCATTTCATATTGCTGTTTAAAAAAAAGTAAAATTTTTGTTTTATCTTCGCTCAAACGATTTCTCCTTTCATTAATTATTAATCCGACTTTGGAGAACAAACGTTCACATGGGACTGATGTTCCTAATGCACATAATTTTTCTGACATTGATCAATTAAGCAGTATTTTAAACATTTCGCAGTATTTTAAACATTATTGCTTTTGTAAAATTGCAATTTTACAAAAATAACCGTTTAGTCCGTTAACTGTTATTTTAAACATTGATAACCGTTATTAAAATTATTGCTCAGTAACAGTTATTCAGTAACAAGTAACGAAATAACGCCTCATCACTAATAGAGAGAGAGAGAGAAAGAGAGAGAGAGAGAGAGAGAGGTGAAGAAAGTGTGAAAATACGTGAGAAAAAGAGGGAGAGAAAGAGAAAGAGACGCGGTTACGACGACGCGGCGACACGCCGATGAGTCATGGCCGACGAAAAAGATGAATTGCCGCCGCCACCGTTCGCCGTTCGCGCAGATTATCGCTGGACCAGATTGTCGGCCGGCAATTAGTCCCCCATCCCTCTCGTTCGCGGTGCTCTCTTGGTAGCGAGCCATTTTATCGCCGGGTATCGAGCCGACTAAGATTGGCCGTCCAGTTGGTGCGTCGCCAATGTCTTCTGACGAAACCACCGAGAAAGTCTCTGAGTTAGAACCAAGGGGGAGGCGAGCTCTTCACTCTCCTCTCTCTCTTTCTTTCTCTCTCTCTCCCTCTTACTCTATATCTCTCTCTCTCTCTTCCTCTCCTTCCACGCCGCTGTCCATGTTCGCCCTACCCAACGGCGCGTCGCTATTTTTTCTCGCATTGTTATGAAATGAAGATTGGATAAGATTACGGGGACGCACATCATGCAAGGCGCCGAATTTAGACGCGCGGCTTTCGGCGCGCGCGCGCGCGCGTCCGCGTTTTGTAACTCGCGGCGCGGCGTTTTTGCGGTTCCATCCAGATCTTCCGAAATACGCGTGAGTAAGCGAGGCGGTGAGGACGCGGATTACGTCAATCTGTTTGTCGCCGCGTCAGCGACCGATTTTATTGCTCCGCTAGCGCTAAATCGCTCGCGCGCCGCGTGCCCCACGTCGCCCCCTCGTCGTCCACCGAGATAGAATATGTACACGCGTTCCGAATCCGGAGACCAAGCCACCCACAGTTATCTCTCTGTACGGACCTAGGGTCGCAGACTCGACGGCTATACGCGGAGGGCTGCTATTTTCAGCTTCGGTCCGCCGATCTAAAGTCAGCAGGTATCGCTTCGATCGTAGGCTCGGTCGGAAAAATCATCAAGTCGAATTCTCACGTTATTTTTTATCTTTCTTTCTTTCTTCCTCCATTTCCTTCTTTCCTTCTTTCTTTCTTTCATCCTTTCTTCTTTTCTTTTATTTCGTGTCGTCAGTCGACGAGAAAGCCGAGCCTCGTCGCCGCTACTCTGCGATACTCTCGAGCTCTCTGTATAAATATGCTTGAGCTCCCTCTCGGTTACTTTCTCGTCAGTCTCGAGGTGTAAGGTACGGCCGTAAATGTAATGCCGAGACTTTGGACTCACCCTGTGTGTAGTGTGTCTATGAAATAGAACTTTCTGTGAATTGTACTCCTATAAGTAAAGGGTAAATGAGCGAATTGTTCCAAAGTATCCGAAGCGAACGCTTGGCTCACGAGTGAGATAAGTACATTGACTGTGTCGCGTTTTCGAAAAGGCGTCAACGAACGATCGGTCGAAGCACCAAGATGACGCAAGAGATTTATCGTTGCACGTAACGACACTAAATGCGGCCGTCCCACTGCAATCGGCGAGCCGGCAAGTTCTTAAATCTCCGACTGCGAGATCTCCAAAACGTACGACGTCATCTAGCGAAGGAGCCGAAGCAAAGGATCTAGCAAAGGCCGAATTGTACAGCGAGTTGCACACACCGATGTGCATCTAGCCGCATTTAGTGACAAATCCGTAACGTATAAGGTCATTTTTCCAATCGACTCACCCTTCCACGAGCTAACATCTGCTCCGCGGCATAAACGTATCCTCCGCAACGAGGACATCCCTCTCCCTCAGGCGCCTTCGCGATAGCCCGTGGCTCTAAGATGGCGTTCGATCCCCGTGAGAATTCTCTAAAAAATCCATATACATTAAAGTCCGTCGGTGAACGAACGTCGTGCGATATGTGCGCTACCACCATGACATTCAGAGCTGAAACGAACCGACGCTCGTGACGGTAATTGCAGAGGAATCAAGGTTCTCACGGAAGTAACATCAAGTACGCGAAGAACGAAGAGGAGACTCGTCGGCTCGTTTCACTTCTGAATCGCACAATCCGATTGCGGCTTTTTCAACGTCGAACACGGAAGCTATCAGAGACACTGAAACACACAGGTAACAGGATAGTCGTCGAGAAGTGAAATTGATGGTTCACGCATACCAAGTACTCGATGCGACGGTATAACCACGAGGTAACAATCGCTTTTCGAGTAACCCGAGTGGAGTATCTCGAGGGTCAAAGTGAAGCATGTGACACTTGAAGGAATACACAGGCTTTGAGTACCGAAGAGACGAAAACTGCTGTTTACACAGTTACAATGATAAAGATATGAACAGTTACGTACGAGAGGATTAGCGAGATTAGCGAGAAAACTGAATAAAACTATATACAGTGTACACGAGTGAAGTATTGGAAATTCTACGCGCACAGGTCGGCGTGACAGCCTCAACGCGCGAACGTTTTACCCCTCTGTAGTGTATATGGTATATTCAAAATAGCATAAAACTCCAAGTGTGTGTGTGTGTTATGGCCATTATGCCGGACTGTATACAAATACAAAGACTACATGTCGAGTGTGTATCTGAAACTTCTGACAAACAAACTTCTGACAAACGGATGAGGGAAGCTGTTAAAGCAAACCCACAGATCGGCGTATGTGCTCTCATTCTCGTATTATTACGGCTAATATGATTTTCAACCGTACGCGTTGTGTGTCTGGACGTCTGAAAATCATAGTCGCCAAGTGTTAAGACATACAGGCCGGTCTGTGCGCGTAATTATCATTATTCTGATAATCGCCAGACCGATTCGTAAGTATACAGGGGGGAGGGGGCGGAGGGGTGAGGAGGTCACAATATCCTACCAATCGTGAGAGAAACGTTCTGTGAGGAATTACAAAGATTTACAACGCACGCGTACGCACGCGTGTCCGTGTATGATACAAGAACGTATAATTCGGCAAAGGGATTACAATACATAACATGGGACGACCCGTCAATTTCACATCTGAACGCTGCAAATCTACAGAAACAAACAACAACCAAAAAGCATCACACTCCGACGTGCAAGACCAGAAATTTCCTCGGAACAATCCAAGCGCAGCCGTGCGCCACGAGAAGGAAGCGAGCCCGCAATTTCGATTCCCCGAGTGAGTATCTCCGGCCACGCAGGATCGCATTCTGCGTAAACGTTGTAAACACGTCACACGTAACGGAAGAGTTGACTATGTCTACTGTGGATAAATTTCTCACGAGTGCCTTTCCAGAATCAGAAGAAATCTGCATCTTTCAACGTCGTGCGATTTCATACAGCGATTTAGTACGAAACTAAGAGTACAGAAAAGTACGAAACAGAAAAACTAGACGTTAAGTCTCCTAAACTATTCCCAAGAAAATCAATTACAAATTCTTCCGAGCTTTCAAAATTTCGAAATAGACCGCAAAGAGGTCTCGTATCTCTCTGATCCCGAATGGTCTCGTTTCGTGTTTACGCGCACGCGCTGACAATCGATTCCTTCTTGCGTAACGTTCGACTTTCGTCCGGGGGGCGTCAACAAGACATCCGTCGGATGTGATGGAGTTGGGTGATAACAGAAACGTAAATACATCCAATAGTATCACAGGTTAGCTGGTTAGAGCGCGTGTTAGTCAACGTGTTAGCGTAACTTTTCCCCTTTGCAACCACGGCACG